TCTTTTATTTTGATATTTTTTGAAGATCTTCAAAGATACATTACAATCTTCAGGGACTGCCATGTCAATAAAAAAGCACATTCAGTTTTTGTGGTCTTTGAACATAATTTCTGAGTGATTAGCTTTGATTGTTCTTTCTTTGTGTATTGTAAACTCACATAAAATTGTAAAGGTCCTATCACTTTAACAGAGTTTGGTTGATGTTCATACCAGTTTCTTGCAGTTTCCTTATCGTAAAAATAACATATTTTCCAGTGTGTTTATTGGCCAACTCTATTATGCCAAGATTTATATTCAGTGGGTGTTAACACCATGCAACTTGATAGAAGATGGTCAATTGGTTCTGGATATTATTATTAATATTATTATGACTATTATTATTATATGCCCTAATAGAACACCATTCATGGCTTCTGATCTTGATTGATGTACATGCTTTGTTTTGGTGAATTAATATAGGCTACAGTATAACGTTCACTACAATAGATTTGCATATCAGTTGCCTGGCTATAACCAGCTGAGGATATCTACTAAGGGCTGGTGCGCTCTGCATCTCTGCGCATGAGTGAGAGTAGTAGCCTTTTGTCAAGAGGGTAGTTTTTTTTAAACTTGAAGGATGATCAGCCAAGATGACTAGGGGTTCATATCTAGATACTGGAAAACATCATCAATTGATCAGATCAGTTTACCAACCAGGAGATATTTCTAACTGGACCTCACCTGCAATGTTATGCACTGCTTTTATCAAAACCAGTAACTATATCACATACATTTGATTGTAATGCCTGGTAAACTCTTATCAGACTGGGTGTCATGATGGGTATATTGGGTGCCATATATTTGTACCCTAGCATCACTTTGTTATTGCACTGCTTTCTATTATTAGTAGTAGTAGTATAGTATCTGTCAAAAATAAGAGGATTATTTTACATAGGGATTAACACATGCCTAGAATCAAACTATTTTTGAAATCCTCCATAGGATCAAAGTGTCATTCCTATGGATTTCCACCTCCTCCTACTCCACCACCACCACCACTCATCATCATCATCATCATTGTTGCCATCATCATCATCATCATTGTTGCCATCATCATTGTCCATGTTTGTTTTGAAGAAATTCCTATGAAGAAGAAAAACTGAGTGTAATGCCATTTAGTTAACAATATTAGCTTATTACCTCAATTCATTGCTTGTCTTAAACAATTTAAGTCTTTAACTTAAACCTAAAAAAATTTTTTATATTTTATCGCTCATTCAAAAGTATGGCATTATTTACCACAGTCTCATTGCCAAAGTAATTACTCATTTGAGTTCTTATCTCTACAAATATCTCTAAAATATTTTCAGGGCATTTACTAAGTTTAGCATAGTCTGATACAAGGCTCTTGTAATGGAGCACTGAACTCACAACACCAGCAATTTGGTCTACCAGATAAGTTTACTGGTATTTGCACTATGGTAGATACCACAGGTAAAATATTTTCTAATTACACAGCTGAAAACGACCATCTTGCTTAAATGGAAAACAAATTGATAACTTATGAAACCTGAAACAATCAAATAGTAATACAAACTAATGAAAAATACATCACTGTAATCACTATAGATTCAAATCACTGAGAATGCTGCATTGATTCTACTAATGACTAAACGATGACCAAGTGTTGGTTTAAAAAGTTCAATTTCATCTTCAGCAAAATATAAAAGAATCTGAAAATGTCATTCATATCACTTGGATGGTTATTGATTTGTGTTTATGAAGATGTTTGCACATAATCATCTTTAAATGGTTCTATAAGAGCCATTTAAAACAGATTCTTTCACTTAACAAATTCTAATTCAATGTATTGAAAAAAATAAAAATAATTGGGTCACATTCAAAAGCTCTGCTCTTTTTACATTTTTTCAGTTTCTCCTTTCCCTTTCACTTCCTTTTTCTTTCTTCTCATTACCATGTTTCCTCATTTTTACACTTTCTCTCTTCTCATTGCCTGACAACACTCACAAATCAACAAATCTGAATTAAAAAGATGAAAAGAGAATTGCTTACAATGCATAGAATTGATATTTATACTTAACTGATGTCTTTAGCAGAATTCTGTGTAGTTTCATCTTTTACTATTTTCTATGTATTTATTAAATACATTTTTGCATGTAGTATTTCTATCAATATTGATATTAAATGATCTGCTCAGAATAATTGGTAGCATTTTAATAGGTTTGAATTCAGTTGTTTGCTAAATTATGAGTATGAAAAAGAAATAGGATTTTGACTTATTTCCAAAGAAATGTTAATCTTCTCGTTGATGCAAAATAAAATTCAAGATTTTATTAATTCATTACTTGAAGTTTCCCTCACATAAATAATGAAAATCCTTTATACTGATTTTGAATTGAAACATATTTAAATTTGACAATCTTTCTTTTTTTTAAATTCATCCCTTTGAAGATTTTAAAATTATCTTTGCTGTTTCTAGCTAACAGAAATAAAACTCAGGGATCACTTCTGATTAATTTTGGTCATGATTGTCTAGGATACAGGTAACATTTTGTTACTGATAATTACTAAGATGGTCAACATAAAAAAACATGAATTTTGGATAATTTATTTACATTTTGATCCTGATATGCAACAACTTATTTGAAAATGGAAAACTACAATACAAATTAGTCAGGGTGTCGTTGTTGAATGTAATAAAATTTGTTTAAATATTATATTATTTTAATATATTACATATTTATATATGTGTGTGTGTATGTGTATTTTAATAAACTAATCTTGGTCTACCTATTTCAATCTATATGTATGATATGGAAAGAGGAAGTTATATAAATCCTATGCACTTCTTCATTGTTGCATTTTTGGCTTCTTTGTGATCCCCAAAGAAAATGGAAGTTGTATTTTGAAATTATTATGCAACAACACAGATGCAAATTACCTTAATAAGCTGCAGAAGAAATTCATTAACACAATTAATTCTTTCTTCCTTTTTCTTCGTTCATTGTGTTTTCCTTTAGTTTTAAAGAAGCGTTTGCTTTCTTTTCTTGCTTTATGTCTTTTTCTTTCAGGTCAAGTCAATCAATGAGTGCTTCTGGTACCATATAACCCAATACTGCCTGGCACATGTCTGGACATCAGCAGGTAGGCCAGTTCCTTCACCTGATCTTTCAGCTCTTCCAAAAAGTGTAACTGGTTCTACACAAGTCTTCACCACTATAATCAACTATGATCAAATCATTTATGTGAATAGTCTTGTTCTTCAGTTCTAAACTGAATTGTTACATTTTCATACATCCAAATCAACATGAGAGTCTATTATATATATATATATATATATATATATATATATATATATATATATATATATATATTTGACATTGTCAAATATTGAAATAGGTCATTACTACTGAAGTGAGTTTGGTTTTTACTGGTCGATCCATATTTGTGACCTTGTGACCTTGACCTTAATAGTAAGTTAAGTATAGGTAAAGATAAATGCCTAAGTGTAACTTACTTTTTGGTCAAAGGAAATCAAATAGATATCACCCAAGAGTGAGGATATGTTGAAAAATTCTCAACCTGACCAAATGTCCAAGTATAAAAATGAGGGAGAGGGGCAAGACCTTTTCACACCCACTTGTATCATACATTACAGGATTGTAAGTGCTGATAGCAGACATGGGAAGGAAACTACAAAACCTTGTACAGAAGGTAGCAAAGTAGAGTGAGAAGAAGGGACTAAGCATAAACTACAAGAAGACAGAATGCATGGTCATCAGAAAAAAGATGAGCCCAAAATGCAATTTACAAGTTAGCGACACTAAAATCAAGCAGGTACAGAAATTTAAATATCTGGGAAGTGTTCTGATAGAAAGTGCGACACTGAGATCTAAAGTTATATTGGAATGGCCAAAGATGCATTTCAAAAGCTAAGCAGAATATTATAAGATATGAAAGTTTCATTAGAAATAAAGAAAAGAGTACTGAACTGCTACATGATATCTGGCCTCCTGTATGGCAGTGAATGCTGGACAATCTCCTCAAAGATGAAGGAGAGTCTCAAAGCAACAGAAGTGTGGTTCTACAAAAGGATGCTAAGGATACCATGTGATTAACGATGAGGTTTTGGAGAGAATGGAAACAAAGAGGAAACTTATACTTAGCATCAGAAAGAAGCAGCTGAAATTTCTGGGACACATAATGAGAAAGTAGGGCTTGGAAAATTTGATACTCACAGGATGAATAGAGGGAAAGAGGGGCAGGGAAAGCAACATGTGACATACTTAATGGGCTTGAGCAAGTAAATGATCAAACAGATCCTGGGAGAAATAAGAGAAGGATAAAACTTATTAAGAGCTATAAGAGACAGGATGAGGTGGAGGGTTATGATCACCTACATCCCGATGGGATATGGCACATAAAAGAAGTGGTTTTCCTATGGCATTCAATGAAATCAGTATTTTGAAGCTATGATTTCTGAAACAAGCCTTACCAAAATGAGAAATCAAACACTACGGCTTACCCCAGAGAGCAGATGGTAGTGGAAGGCAGAGAGACAAAGAAGAAGCAAAAAGAAGTGAATAAAAATGGGAGAGAAAGACACTGAGTGGCATCTTTCCTCACACTCTCATAATACTTCTCACTACTTCAGTAGTAGTTGCCAAAAAAAAAAAACATCCCAGGCCTGGCTCACTTTCACATGAAATCAATAGACTAGGAACAAGGACTCTTTCATCATCCTCTCTACTAACTACCTCTTCCCTGAAAGTATTGATAAAATTCAACTTCCAGTCACATCTGTTCAGCAAAAATAATCGCCACAGTTATTAACTACAATACTATGCACAATGAAACAAGCCTCTCCTTTGCATTGTTCTTTTTTCTTCCTCTCTTTCTCTTTCACTTTTATTCTTTATCTCTTTTCTTTTTACTCTTAACCACCTTCTGTTATCCTTACTATTATTTCCTTATTATTTTAGCTTTTCCCTCCAACATAGATATTGATTGATATACTTTTCCTCACTTATTCTCTCTCTCTCTCTCCCCAATTTCTCATCACAACATCCTCTTTCAAACCTTTCCACTTGTTGTTTAAACTTTTTGCCTTTCTCCCTCTCTCTTATGAATGTCCTACCTCTTTAATTGTAACCACGTTTCTCAGTCTTTATTTGCTATCTCTCTCTTTTTGCCTCTTGCTTACTCACTCACTAAATTTTAGTACTTAACATTCTCATTAGTTTTATCCAGCTCTTCATCTTCCATTTCATTCCCTTTAATCTTTAGTCATATTTCATCTACTCTTTGCCATTCTTTCACCCCTTCTCGTTTTATTCTAAGCCCTTCCTTTCTCTTTCTCACCCTTATCTCTCCCCACTCTCTTTATATTCAGTTTCTCCCTCATACAGTAGACACATCATTTTACACATCTCTTTTATCATGTTTGTATTCTTCCTACATTCCCCTCTTTTTATTCATTCTATTTTCTGTCATTTTTATTCATTCTATTTTCTGTCATTTGCATGATATCTCCGTTTATTTAAAGATGTTCTTTCATTTGTTGCTTGACTACTTTCCTTTTTTTTCTTTCCTATTTTCATTTTTTCTTATTCATTTTTAACACTTTTTCTATTTTCTGGCAACGTTCTATTTACCTTAATTGAGCAGCACATCACTGGTGCATTGTTGCATTTGTGCTAATTCAAATTTTTGGTAGAACAGCCTTGCTAATTAGTCGTAGTCACAATAGTAAATAAATTTCCAATAATTGGGGTAAAATTTAAAATGGTATTTTATTTACATTTTTACAATAAAGCTTTGCATGTAAAAGTATGTATAAGTTGATATTTTGTGGATGTATCTTTTAATTGTAAACGGTCTTATTATTTGAAATGTTCATAGAAATGGGCAGTTGTCTGATATAGAGAAAGTTCCTACATCTATAAATGTCATTACTCACAGTTTACTGGTGCTTGCAATTTCAATCTTTGAATTGAGTAAAAGTAAAAATGTTCTCTGGTTTAGTGGCAAAAACAGACACGCGATATGATAAGGACAAGTTAACCAGGAATAATTAACTGATACAACACATCTCTCCTTGCATAAACAGCAGAATGAGAAAAATCTATCATTACAGATGGAATAATGGATTCGGTTTAAAATTCCCAGAAAATTCCCAATTATAAAAGATACCAGAAGAAAGCCAGAATGGACAAAGGCCGAAACGTTGTTGATAACAACTAAAATGAGATCACTAGTCAAAGTCAGTATATACACTAAAAGTAATTTCTTTTGCTTACAATGTCTTTAATTACCAATAAAGAGGGCTTCCTAGAACAGTGGGGAAGTGTTTCCTGATCTTTAAATTCCTTCGAGAACATCAGCTCTATGACCATACCCGATTAAGGAAAATGATAATGATGATGATCAAAAATTTATAATATAATTTCTTTGTTAAAGTTAACTTTTATACTATACTCAGCTGAATTCACAACCGCCGGGAAGTGCCTGAAAATCATACCACTGGATGACCCAAGCCTTGTGAGGGGAAATGGTTAGACAAAACTGTTCGATGTTTATACTATCATGAAGTCACAGGTCCTCACCTAAACAGCTGGAAATCTATCTAAAGATGGTGTTTCGATAAAAAAAAATCTTTTTCCCCATAAATCTGGGCATTAGCGGGTATGTATTGGCCTAAAAAACTCACAACGACTGAATTTCAAGAAAATGTCAGTTGAGTTAGGAAATGGCGTAACATAATGACGAGTTCGAATCAGCTGAGCATGGTTTGCAAACGTAATATGCATGCAATGTTACATGTGATTGTATTCTATCAGATTCAAATACTATATTCTTCCCTGTGTATATTCTTGTTTTATGATTTTTGTCCATAACAAAACTATTAACGCTAAATTACAGAAATTGTCTGCAAACACTTCTGAAATTGAAATTATGGCGCACTATGGAGTAATCATAAAGTTGAAATTCTTATATTCTAGACTTCGATAACTATATCTTTATGCCACTTGAAGATAAAAAAAAATGACCATTGATTGAGGGTTGTCTCAAAATTAGAATCTGCCTAGAACATCTTGCCACCATATTTGATAACTTGCCTGAATTAAGAGCCGAATGTGATAGCTTATCTGGTAAAGACTGGTACGTTAACTAGATGGCTAATTTGAGCCCAGAAATAGACTTTCCCAACCCCATGTGCATAGCAGTGAACACATTTTAAGATATTAATACACTGTCTGTTGGCCAAAAGTAGTCGGGCTTTATAATTGTTGCGTTATGTATTGTTCGTTTTCATTATAAGAATTATATTGAATTCTGATTAGCATTATCTGATCACGTTTCAGTGGCAAGACTATGTAGTAAGACAAGTAATCGCCAAATTGAACAAATCTCTTGTTACGTACATTGGCACTGGGCCATATAATTAATTATATACGAGAGGGTGCTGAAAAACCAAGGAAATCTTTAAAATCATATGTTTGGTCATTTGATTACATTTCGGCGATCTGATTATATACATATAAGTAAACTAAATCTGTTCACTGTGATGTTGAATAGCTGTTGAGATATTCAAAAGTTAAGTGAGTTATTTTACTTATTATTATTATCATTATTATTATTCTTAATTAATAATCTTAAGATATTCTGTTTATCTTAAGACATGATATGTTAAGTGTAAAGAGCAGTGGTGAATTTGTAGGGACCTGGAAAGGATTGAAAATATTCCCCTTAATTTCAAAGGGGAAAATTGATTTGAGATACGAATCTTTCGAGTTATGAGCTCGGTATTGTACGAATTAAATTCGTATCTCAAGGCACTACTAATATATATATATATATATATATATATATATATATATATATATATATATATATATTTATGAATTGAGTCAAAGTGGATCAGAATCCGACAGAATGATAGGATAAGAAAACGTTTCCTATTACTTCCTTATCCTGTATATATATATATATATATATATATATATATATATATATATATAGAGAGAGAGAGAGAGAGAGAGAGAGAGATTCCGGTTTGATTGTATCTATCAAATATTTGAATACTTATTGTTGTGAAATAATTATCTTGTCAATAAACCCTTATTGTTGTTTGTCTATTTTATTTCTCTTATTTATCCAGTTTAACTTACCACAAAGTCAAAGGTAACCTGCCCCCAAAAATATTTCTCCTTATCATATAAGAAATACACGCTGTTCTAGAATTGTTTAATTTAATAAATATAGATTTAATTTCAATTTCAGAAATGACGAAGGAGAAAATAACTGTTTAGCATCCAAAATCACGTCTCATAGTGTAGTGAAAATTATGATGGTCTCAAAAACAGTCTACAGTGCATTCTATATTCGCTATATAACCAATAAATAAAGTCGTATGCCAGATTTGGCATAATTCAGAAAAACAAATATAATATGAATCTTTACTTCCGAAACTTTTCATTGGGTCTTCTATTGAATACTTTTACATTTGTGGTCGTCTTGATTCAGTGTTGGTAAATAAAAATGTTCTGAACCGATAATTTAATTATCACTTACCGATGCGTTATTATAGCATTTTTGCCTGGCTATGCTGGTCCGTTTTGTTAAAAATAGTAAATTGCCTTTTATTAAAAATCAATTACTATAAAGACGATGAGGATGATTTCTCATGCGCACCGCCATTTTCCGTTCTATCACATATTCTACAGTAAAGACACCCACAATACACAATATAATAAAAATACATTATAAAACATGGTGTATTGTACGATGCTATATCTATAAGCTTGTTTAGAAATAGCACTAAATGCTAGTTTATAACACAAATGAGAGACCCCTACAGAGTGTCTTGAAAATATGTATATACGTCGATAACAGGCAATATAAGTTTTGTACAGACGCCGTATGCTGTCGGCGCTCCCCCAATTTTTAAAAACAACCGAAAGAAAAAAGCTTAACCAGCGATCGTTGGACATAAAAAGGCCTCAAAGTATCTAAAAAAAAAACAAAGTATCGTTCCGCGAATCAAAGTGTAGCATCTGTTCCAGCTGCCAGCCCCACGGCTCCAGTCAGCAGCAGTTCTAGCCAGCCATCATTATTTGCAACTCCAGCTCGCCATCAGCTTCTAGCTCTCGCTGATCCAGCCATCCTCGCCAACAGCAACGATGTGCAATAAACTGTCTTTTTCAGGACAACGCTCTACAACGACTACGAAATTATCCTTCTCAGGACAACGCTCTTCTCATGATCATGCAGAAATATTTTTTTGCCGAGTTCAGTGTAACCTTATTTTTGTTGATGTATTTTCTTTAACGAAAATAAACTGGGCAAAATATTTTTTTTACTCAAGTTTTTTTTTTCAACATACCACCCGCAGCAAGTACAACAACAGCAGCAGAAGTGTTAATAAGGTAAAAAGTAAACGAAGCTTATAAGCAGATGAAAGTGCTTTAATGATTTCATCTTACGTTATCTGGTAGAATAGATCAAGAAAAATGTGATCATTTAGATCGTGAAATGTAACGAAGCATTGCTGTAAATTTTGCGGACTAATTGTTCGCCTCGTCAGATGTTATATGAAAAAGACTTTGTCATATTATTGTTGACTTTGACACGAAGCTTAAAATGTTTTTAATAAATTTGGCAATGCATCTATAAAATTTTTAATTGCCAAGCAGTTTTTTCCTCTTTTTCTTTCTCTCCTTTCCTTTGTCCAAATCTATGTATCTATGAAATTTTATATTTTTCCAAAGGTATGCATTAACAATAATAGTTGGCTATTCGTTTCTGAGCACTCTCGAGGTAGGGAGGCTAGCCAATTCCTGTTGTAGACGGCTGCCTAGGGACATTTTTGTTTATTCAAGACTCATCCACCTGTGGCTTATATAGTAGCTATACGGAGAGACACTTAAGGTACAGTTCCTAGAAGAGAGTGTATCATCTGTCGTGTGTTATCAGAGAAATAAGCATTAGAATCCGTACGAATATCTCTCTTAAATTTTTCATGTGAAATACGAATTTGTTTAAAGTCTCTCTTACAATTGCATTGCTTTTCTTCAGGATGAACGATCTGGAGATAGGTTTCCACAGTCATTTGGCTTTTTCTTCAGTATGTTCATGATGCAATCGTACATACATAATATATATATATATATATATATATATAGATAGATAGATAGATAGATAGATAGATAGATAACGATACATATTTCTATATATCAAGAATGGAGAAATTTTATGACAAAGGGGAAAAATTTACCTGTGACGCATTTACTTCAGGATTCAACTGACTAATTTTGTTATGTTGATAGGACTACACATTCTCACGGCAAAGGGGGGGGGGTGCTGGGAATTCTAAAATTGCCAGCACCCACCTGCCGTGCGAAGAAAAAGTCTTTTTCTTTTTCTTTCCATCGTTTTTGTAAGTCGGTATTCCACACTGTGATTTCACCGTGCTACTCTGATCAAAGGAGAAAATAATTCACTACAACGTAAATGTCTATAGAGTGCATTAACCGCAAGGTTATCTACAGTAAATATACGCCCTGGCTCTTACAACATTTCAACATTCCTGGCAGATCGTCGTAGCGAATTATTTTCTCC